AATTCCTTAAAATTCGATAATCTAAAATAATATATTTAATAAAATCAATATAAAAATATCATAAAATTTAATTATTATCAATTTATAATAATATATTCCAAATATCTATTTATTTTCGTCCAAATAAATTTAAAAAAATAATATATTAAAAATCAAAATATTCCTAATCAATAATCAAACCCTTAATAATAAAATAATTAAATTAATTTCAATTTTAAAATTCCAATATATTAAATTTTTATTTAAATTATATAAGAATTTTATTTCATTTTCTAATTATAAATATATAAAAATTATAGTTATATTATAATAAATATATTTTAAAAAAATAATATGAAAATAAATAAATTATGTTAAATTTATATTTTCGCTAGAAAGCTAAAGCCGGAGACCAAATATGAAGGATTGAAAAGGAAACTAATTTTGAGGAAACGATCAAAAAAGTATTTTAATGTCATGTTCGGGAAAAAGAAATATCTCAAATTCCAGTCTCCGTACCTTCAAATAGAATATTGTAAGAATTTGATATATTTGTTATTTGGATTATTTTTTGGTTGGATTTTTCTCAGCGATTTTCATCCGGAGTGCAGGCTTCATTGCTGCTTGCATGCCTTGCAAAGAAATTGCCAAGTACAGCGGACAGGCTAGCAAAACAAAATGATGTCAAAAAAAACAGAAAAAGTCATATGTTCCATTACTAAAGTCACATGTTCAGACGTATTCAAAACAAAACGTTACATATTTCCAGCAGCACCACTGAAATGGCACCTCTTCAGGCATCCCTCCGGCCATTTCCTTCATGACCTTGGTGAGTTCCTGTGAGCGATGCGTCGGTTGAAATTGGTATTGGGATATATAGTTGGGATATTAATGCGATAGTTTGCCAATTTATATAAAAATATATACACATAATACATATATATATAATTATATATATAATTACATATATAATATTCTATATGTAATTACATATATAATATTATATATATAATTACATATATAATATTCTATATAATTACATATATAATATTATATATATAATTATATACATATATAATATTATATATATAATTACATATATAATTATATATATATTGTCCAGTTGAATGAAGTTGAATGTCAGTATATTTGTTGAACTTTGGTTGAAGGATTATTTTTCTGCTGGTGATTACTCGGAAAAATTGTTCTTTGGGTCGTACAGGCAAAGAGAGATTTCGCACTTGATCGTCCTAAACACGGCAGGACGCGCATCATGATTCAATAAAAGGAAAAATTGGATGGCAGAATTTGAATGTTGAAATCCCAAGCATAAATAGCAACAAAGGAATCGGCCAGCCTCAGGATCGTCTGCTAATTTCTTCATGAGATCCTGGTCAAAGAGACTGTGAAATTGCTAGCGCACAAATGAGAGCTATGTCTGTTAGTCTGTCTTTGTATTCCTTTCTTACACTTGCAAGGCTGTTTCCAAAAACAGTATATAGCGGATTGTCAGTAACAGTAGGCTTACTGGAGTGAGACTCCTGTTTGAAAATTGCTCGGTGCACGTTCCACACCTGCTCAGGACCTGCGAGATTGGAGTCGAGGCCCATAGTTTTCATAATGTCCTCTGCAACACGCTGTGTCGGCTGTGGCAGTTTGGAGTGTGACTCTCTATGATCTACCCAACAAACTTCATCTTCAGAACGATACAAAACCACTGGGACCAAACCCTGTCTGCGCCAAAAGAGATACCAATTATACAGAACTTGGGCGGGTCGGAAAATTGTTTGGGGTGGAGTTACCATCCGGGGAAGGTCCTTTGGGTCCCTTCCCACCTCGAAACTCTCGCTACCGTCGGCCACTTCTTTCGGAACGATCTGTTGCGGCTTGGGAATGAACAGCAAATCCCAGCCAAAACAATCCATTGGCTGATGGATATGCGTTTGTATTCAAACCTATTTATATATATGTATATATATATATATATATGTATATATATATATTATATATATATTATATTATATATATATATAAATAAATGTAGATATTAATTATGTAGATGTAAAAATGTAGATATGGACGGATATATGAATATATATATATATAATTATATATACATTTATATTAATATATTGTAAATACACAGTAGATATATGTCAGGCTGGACGAACTGGTTTCATGGGGATTCTTTGCCCTACAAAATCACCATGGGTCTCAATTCACCTTGGTCCAGGTCTCCAAATCTTGCGCCGCCCGCCTGCGCCACGACCTCTTCTGGAGGATTCCCAAGCGTTTGAAGTTCTTCCAACATCCTCTGCACCTTGTTGTCTTGTGGAATGTCTTGTGGATGGAGTTTACCTACCAACAGAAACCACCTATTCGCTCATGTTCTGATCTTTCTCATGGGGACACGGATGATCTTGATGCACCTTCAAACTGCTTCTCCTATGATCACTTTATGATCCACCAAATAGCAAAGTAAAAGGTCATTTCTGCACTGCTGCAAGCTTGCAAACACGCCTGGTTTCTCGCAAAGTCCGGGAGCGGATCTGAATTGGATCTTAGTGCATGGCAACATGGCAGTGACATCCATCTGCCATGGGTATGGAAGCGGTGATATGTTATGTTTGCCCTTTCCAACCTCTCAAATCAAGATTAGTTTGATCATCCTTCTTGCGGGTACATTGAGCACAACATGGGCAAACCGACGAAGACTACAAGGAAGACCCTAGGAACAAACAACTAAAGGTAGAACCGCAAGGTACAGAAGCTGTTGAATAAGTTGTTGAAGAAGAAGCTGTCAAACATGGTATGGTGATTGACGTGGTTAGGATCGGAAAAGCACATCAACTGTTACATATGTGTTGAGTATCGTTAATTGTTTGATCATTTTATGTTGATATCGCAAACACATGAATCCTCAGATACTACAATATATACAGTGCATGTGGCATCTGGGTCTTTGACGTTTGTTGCACGGTCGAAGAAATAGCTTCCGATGCTTCCAGCATATTCTAATCACCAAATATATAAGTGCTATTGCCGGCTGCCATGATTTCCCCGGCAGCAGATCTGATTATGCTGAGCTGCTTGTAGACGCCCACAATTTGTTGGTAGAGTTTCAACTGAGCCTCGCGGATCTGGTGGAATTGGCTGAATTAGGTCCAACCCCAAGGCCCCCAAGGCCCCCAAGGCCCCCCAAGGCCCCCAATGCCTTCTCACACATTCTGACATATTCTGACATGTTGGGAAAGGTGAAAGGGGAAGGTGTCTGGTCGCGAACCATAGCCATTGGCGTGCAAGAAATACATCACTGCGTGGCCTCGTATCGGTTACGATCGGCTTTGGACAAGCCTGGCAGCAAAGTGCTCCCGTGGGAGCTCTGCGTTGCACCGCGATGATGGTTGTGCTCGCGGAAAGTCGGAGAAACTCATGACTTTCTGCCATATCCACCAGTATGTACTGCAGAATGACTTTTTAATACTACGTCTCAGGCCAAACCCATTTCCTGTTTCTCTGCGCCTTTCTTGGTCTTTAGGTAGGGCTCTAACCTCAAGGCAGGTGCAGGATTTCAAGGGTGCTTTTAAACAACTGCCAAAATGGTAGTCAATGGACCCAATATTGGGCGTTGATTTCCAATATATGCATCTGAACACCCTAAAATGACCAGCCTGAAACCTGGTGGTACCGGGAGATTCATAAGCGTCAAACTGAGTTCCTCCAAAGATTTGCAGCTGGAGTGCAATAGAAAAGTCACTGGGATTCAAACGCATCAGCTAGTTGCTGCATGGAACCAGTCAGGAGGTCACTGGACAGCATAGACCTGGGGATGTTTGGCAACAACTCTTGGCAACAACTCCTGGCAACTTGAGACAGAGGCATGGGGTTGCTCAAAATCACAAAGTCCATCAAAGTCCTATATAAATCTTTTGGCTACCTGGCTCGTTGCTCTAGTACAGAATGGCAACCAGAGAACAACACAAAAACACTCCCAAAACCACCCAAGTCATCCAAGATTTGAAGGTCAACCGGACAGTTCCCGGAATTCAGATGGTTTTGTGCTGCTCAGAGGATTTCATGCACATCTTGCATGACAGACCCTGAAGATCCAAGAGAGGACAGAAAAACCTCTGTGGCTACACTTCAGGGCTCTTGAGCACCCAAGGGACGTCATCATGTTCGTCAGCTGCTGCTCAAAGTCCTTGTCTGCACCTTCCATGAGCGCCCAAAGAAAAAGATTGGGCCGTTTGTGATTTGACCTCTTAAAGATGCGGATATTCACCTGTAAGCCTGTAAGCCCCAAAGATCCCAGATGGAGGCATAAAAGTCATTTACCTGGTAACTCTTCCGATGGTTTGGGTTGAAGGATATTCGAAACACAATTCCCAGTCTCTGGAGATAGGCACAAGAAAAAGATAGCCAGGAGTGCCAAGAGCCATCCATTTGACAAACACTTCGCACCTGCTTCTTGGTCAAAGCTCTTCATGAAGTTTTGGAAAAGCTCCTGCAACGCCAACTCTTCGCCATCCTCTTGGCGCTCAGCATATTATCTTTGCCACACTCGTAGATCAAAGTTTTTTCAGTTTTACTCTCTCTCTCTCTCTATGTGCATTTACAAGAAGACTCCTCACTGGTTGCCATTCAATAATCGTAATAATCTGGATGAAATATTGTAACATATTGTAACTCACCAGCCTGAAACAAGGTGGGGATGAACATCCGCAAATCCACAAGTCCCAACTATTCAGGTCAAAACAAAGGGCACGAAAGTGAATTGATTCATAGCCAAGCTGATTGCTCAAAAAAAATGTATCAATGGACTCACAATCAGTTCTTTTCAGTTTTGACCCATATGTGGTGAACTACCCCATGTTATGGCCATTTTGATGGGAACGATGGCTGCATCTTGGCTGCGCCGCCATTGAAAGTCACCTCCGCATCGCCCGACTGTGAGGAAGACGCCACGGCCGCCGTCGAGGCCGACGATGCAGGTGCGGGCGACGGAGCCGCCTGTTCGGGGCGAAAATCCCCATCGGTGATGAATGTTCCAGGATGTTCCAGGATGTTCCAGATGCTAAATGTCCCTTTTGTTTCATGCCTTGTACCTTGTTCTCTACTTTTTCTTGTTCCAGGTTGTTGCTGGACTTGCAGAGTAACTGGGAGATTCGTATTCTTCCGTGGTCATTTTCTGCCATCTATAATATCTATATGAGACGCCAATGAGGCGCGACTTTCCTGGGTGACCCTGTTCCTTTGTGCATTTTGAAGACAGCACAGTCTTGGTCAGGGTCCATAAACCCACTCCTACTCATGTACCTTCTCTGAATTGGTGAATGTCCTGATGATTTGTTGTTGAATGATCGCAGTTTTTGACAAATATCCTCGTTCTCACCATATCTGGATTTGAGGTTGACGAGTTTGTGGATGGGATACCCGTTGAGCAAATATTTGACCTCTTAGAGAGACCTCGATGGGTCCAATTACAATCCCGCGAAGGTTATTGCTGTTCTGTGTGTGTGTGTGTACCATAAGCACTTCTCAAGATTGAATTGTACTGGATATTTTGCATACATAAAATACATTCTATTGCATTATATTATATCATATCATATCATATTACATCATATGTATTATATTAGATTCTGTTTTATCATAGTACATCTTAGTATATCATAGTACATCATATCATATCATATCATATCATATCATATCATATCATATATATATATATCATATATCATATATCATAGATCATATATCATATATCAATATCATATCTTATCATATCTTATCATATCATATTATGTAGTTTTATGCATCTATACAGTACATATAATATACAATATAAGACTGTGTGCCAGTACCATCTCCTCCTATTTTGGTCCCATAAACTGCGCCACGCCTCGGCAACTGCAGGCCTCATCTTTGGTCGATGGGCAGCAACCATAACAAAGAGGCCATTGAAAAAAAGAGGTCGAGGACCTTGTTGTCTGTTCTGGGGCCCCCATTCTTCAACTAGTTTGACCCATCCCCACATAAAAGTTCGTCTGAAGATCTGGTACCCGTCATCCCCCATTGTTGATCCATCCCCATATGAAGGATGACGATGACAGCCCTGGGACTCCCGGACTTCGACTCGGCAGGCTTGGGCTCCGCGGTCTGGGTCTTGCCGGGAATGATAGGGGGGTGCTCAAAAAGGTTGGAATTTAGTGGGAACTTTCCAGTCGCAACTCTGATTAAAAGCAACTGCTTGGTTTCGTGCAGCAAGATAGATTACAAGCTGATTAAATAATTTTCAGGTAGCACCTGTCCTGTTTACCAACTGGTTCACTGTCAGGAGCAAACTTACCCAGGCAACTCAATGGCCCACGGCAGCCTGCTGCATGGCTTCTGCCATGGCCTTTTGAAAGTTTTCATCCTGGCCCAAAGTTGGAGCAACGGACCAGCTTCATTGGGATATTCAGCAGCAGTTCTTAGAGTTTTGTCTTCCAAATTTCCAGATGGCCACGGGACAGGAGCAAATTTTTATGTTCAGTTTCAAGTAGAAGTTGAAGGAAACATCCCAAGAGGCCTAAAATGAGACCAGTTCCCAGGCAGTCCTGTAGAGTTTTCACTAAGTCCTTGAAGAAGTCCTGCTCACAACTTGGGTGAGCTATGGGGGTACTCAAAGTGACTGGAAATGAAAGCTTTGTGCATGTAGGTGGGCCGCAAATCTGTCATCGTTCAACCTAGGGGTTGTATGGGGTTGTGAGGAGTTTGTCAGGAAAATCTATCGACAAACAGCACAAATTCTGCCAAGCTCCCCTGCCTCGCCCGGGGGCTGTGCTTCACCCTTTCCGACTCCCTGCTGAAGTTCCCGAACCGCCTGGCCACAGAAAGCTGGAACCAGCTGCAACGTGGGCACGTGACTGAGTTGGGTCAAGTTGGATCACATTTATAGAGGTAATTTAGAAAAAATATCACATTCATATACATACATACATATTTATATATATATATATAAATATCAACAGCAAACCCAATAGCCAAGATAATATTAAATTTCACTCTGCGAGTCTGCAAAATTCAAGTTTGGAAAAGTGACTTAGCAGTGAAATAATCCATTGAAGGAATGTGATGGACTGGAGCTCCACCGCATCGTCACACCTGGTCCGCGCTCCGGCCGGAGTCGCTGGTGGTAGCTGCCTCCAAAAACTGTGGAGTGGATGCGTTCAAATCTTGACCCAACACATCCCACAACCAAGTTCCAAATTCAACTTAGTGAATGTGTGTGTGAATCATATATGTACACACTATAGATTATAATATATCTATATATTTATATATAGACGATATGAATATATCTGTACCTTATATACATATTATATATAGACATGCACATTGTGCTGTCAATCTTCACTTCCTCTGGACACTCTGCTGCAGCCTTTCGGTCACCATCTAGCGCTGCTTGCACACCACTCAAGGAGTCTGCGATGAGGCTGTCAAGGTCGTCAGCCTGTCAGCTTGGTAAACATCAATGATGTAGTGGGTGCTCAATATTGTACCCCAAAAAATAGTGAATAATTATAGTGTGTCCAGGTATAGCCATGATATATAGCCATGATATGTCATGGTCGCATCTTTTTACATCCCAAGTGGCCCCCTGTGGCCTCCATGACGCAGACTTTGATGGCTCCTGCCAGGGATGTTCACCGTCGCTACAGATGGGTAGCCCTGATTGAACAAAGCATCTGGAGGTATCAACGTACCCGCGGCGGCACCTAAGACTCGCCCAAGACTGAGGTCAAAGGTCTCAAAAACGGCTTGAGCTCTCAACTTCTGCAGAGGCGAATCAAGCTGCAGGTGTGAAATGTATCGACGCCGACGCTTGGAAACGAAAGTTCGAACCATTTCTCTGATTTCTCTGGGATAATGTTTTCCCTGAGTTTGCACGTCAAAAAGAAATCACACGTTTTCTAAGCTGATGCATCTGATGCCAAGAAAACGCATGTTGCGTTAAGAAAGTGCTCAGACAACCTAACCTAGCGAGTACCGAGCTGGATTTTCTCGCCTTCACTAGCAGTACGGTGACCAAAAAATCCCGACTGTATTTCTTTCAGGGCTTCAGACCCGACCCTTTCAGCTGCTCAACTACAGTACACATTGCCCCCCATGGCATTTTTTCAGCGGCTCAAGTCGTGCCAACTGCGGGCGTGACCTGCACCCGTTGCAGCAAATGATAGGGACGGTAAGACACTCTGGTGACAAGAGTTTTGCGAGAGGTGGCAATCTTCCACTCATATGCTCCATTTGCTTTTGCTACACCTCTTTATTCCATAGATGACCAATCAACGTCAACCCTCCAAATAGTCTGTCAAAGGATTTATCCTTTTATTGTAAAGGTCGGTGACATCGTCATGTTTGGTTTTCTGATCTTCTGAAATCATGTCGCTGTTTTGCTTTGCAACATCGAAGCCTCCAGAGCTGGAGCGAGAAAGCTTTCCTGGTCTAAACAACTGGCAGAGAAGTTTCAGCCTATTGGAAAAATGTTAGAGGGTCACAGCATGAACCACTTCGTACCAGGCACCGTTTCATGCACCAAAATGCCAGACAGCAGGAAACTGAAGTGTTAAGCTTAACTCTGCTTGACTCAAGCTGCTACACTACACATCCCCTCAGCTCCGAACCCAAGCAGACAGTAGCATGTAGGCGCTGATTCCAGCAGGGACAATCCTCAGCAAAAGGTGCGTGTCCATCTGAGGAATCGAGTAAAATTGTGGGACCATGTGGTTTCCTCAACGAGCGAAGGGGTTTTCCATGCCACTGTGGTCTATCTGAGTTGGGTAACTGAGGATAAACGTTCACCATGCACACGTAATTCCAGGGCTGGCATGCAGCAACTGGAAGCTGCGATAAAACTGAGAGACCCAAACAATAAGGTGCTTTTCACCCATCACCCATGTGATGTTGCCGTCTCTGAGCATTCCAACCCGTAGGCAAAGAGGTAAAGCGGCCACACCTTGTTCAAAGAAGTTGTCAAGGGGACACAACTGAGAGTATACGTTCTTGCTTAATTCGACTCTGGCTCAACATGGGTGTGCAGAATAGTCAGACGCCCTTGGCTTGTGGCACTCCAAACAAACTCTTAGGTCCCATGAGGGTCCTTCTTCTAAAATTACATATAACTCACAATAGATGGACTTACCATCCCTGTGCACATGACAAGATTGGATGGGACAGCCATGACGTGATTTCAAGCCATATATCTTGATTGTCTTGATGACACTCCGCAAAACCATCACGAGCAAATCGAGCAAGTAGCAGGGACATTCCTCTTCGCCAACTGCAGGAGCTTTTGTGCGCCAGCCTCGGAAAGGTTGCAGCCAACACATAATTAAGATAACCGAAAGCCGTTCTTTAGCCAGTTGGCAGAAAGAATGGGAAATTGGATTTGTAAATTGTTTTATCTGAAGGATAGCACATCCATACATATACAGATTATACACCTGCAAACATAAATCAGATCGACGCTGTAATTAAACACCAATCAGGATGGAACCTCCAGTCCATCGACGTGAAATGTGAATGATTGTTTAATTTGTTCCTTGCTGTTCATCTTTAGTACGTTTTCAGCAACTGGAAGAGAAGTTTCGAAGAGGTTTGTCCCAAGGTAGCAAAGTACATGCAGCCTAAACCAAAGCATGCCCAGTGGAACCCAGCAATCTCAGAACCATTCCGCAGTTGGGAGCCATGATGGGAACTATCCATCCATGAAAATCCTTTGCCCACAAAACAGTTGACCATTGCGGATCCTTGGCCATTGTTGGTCCACCAGGACCTTAGCTTCTGACCTCGGGATTCTCCATCTGCAAGGCCTGCCATGACATTTCTCGTGCATTGTTTCGATCTGGATTCTGAAGCCGCAAGACTGACATTTTTTCCTGGATCATCTTCAAACCGGGGTCGCATCTGGAGTTCCAGCCTTCTGCAAGCGAGCTACCAAGTGTGCGCCTTGACGCTGCACCGGCATGGCAAGGCATGATCACCCCTCCCGGGCCACCGGCAACAAGGTCACGCCGATTCTGAGATTACCCTGGGCTATGCCAAGTGACACATGGGAGCGCTGCACACCACCACCATATCTCCATGGAAGGCGGTTGCTGAAACCTGGCGAATGTCAGGATGGAACAGCACGATGTTTGGCAAGTGAAAACGCTGCAAGAAAAACCGTCCCATTTCGGAAAAACTCACATAAGTTAAATGAAAACAACATATACAGACTGAATACAAACTGAATACACAAACAGAAAACATACAACATCTACAGACTGAAGTCTAAGGAATTCTGCAGAACAAGTCCAAGCCCTTCAGCTCCTGCTGCGCTAAGTAGAAACTCCTCTCGTCAATGAGCACGTCGTGCGCAGCGGGGCACAGCTGCTCCAGTTGCCTTCGGAGTTCCTCTGCATCCTCGGAGGATTCAATAGCCACAAAATCACCCAAAATGGTCCTTAAATGCCCGATACATTTGTCAATGTAGATTATGTAATTCGTATGTATGTATGTATGTATGTATGTATGTGTGTGTGTGTCTGTATGTATGTATGCATGCATGCATGCATGCATGTATGTATATATATATATGTATGTAGTTATGTATGTTGTGTATGTTATGTATGCTGTGTATGTTATGTATGTTATGTTATGTTATGTTATGTTATGTTTGTATGTATGTATGTATGTATGTATGATTATGTATGTATGTATGTATGTATGTCTGTCTGTCTGTCTGTATGTATGTATGTATGTATGTATTTATGTATGTATGTATGCATGCATGGATGTATGTATGTATGTATGTATGTGATATGTTACCTTATGTTACTGTTATATATATATAATTATACGTCTTTTATTTGGCTTTGATTTCCAGTGCATGGATCCAACCTTAATGAAACCTAGGTATACATTCCGAATCAGAGAGCATTGTAGACCTGATATATCTGACGTGGAGGCGATACAAGCACATCATCACTGCAAGATCGAGGTTCTCCAAGTGATTAACTAGTTACTAGCTAGCAGCAGGAGTGTTTTTGCCTTCACATTCAGCACGTCAAAAGGGGGCATTTAGCATGCAAAGAGTCTCAACATTCCAACAAAGCCTTCCATATTGTATCATTGATTGAGATTTTTCTGCAAAATCCACAAAGTTAAAGGATGTGGCTTAGGAACAATCACCCTGCCCTGCTATGCCCTGCTATGCCCTGCTATGCCCTGCTATGCCCTGCTATGCCCTGCCAGCAACTGTATCAGGTTCTGGGATATCCAGCCGATGGTAAGGCCATGGATGAAGCATCCCCTGGCCACGGACAGCTACTCAAGCTCAAGACTCTCTAGACTCTAGAAACTTCCCTGCAATAATCATGGCTCAACAACCTCCCAACCTCCCAACCTCAACATGTTACTGATCTTCCCAGGCTCCGGCGTTGGCGTCTCAGCGAGTAGGCTGCATAACTCAGCCTGAGCCAGGCAGACGCAGGTCTGAGATGGATCTCTATGGACCAGGTTGCCAAATGCCAAGTGAGCTCAACTGTTAAACCCAGGCCCCTTGGGCCCCGGCAGTCCCTGCAACAGACGTGGATGCCACAACCTGAAAACACTTCGGAGAATGGATCAAAAAGTGGGCCCAAAGAAGCTGTATGGTTGAAGGTTGCAAAATCTGTCAACACTCTATTACGTACAAATATATAATAGAATCAATAGCATATTTTGTATAAATGCATTCAGCAATATTTCATGTCTATCTCTCAACCAATGATTCGTGTTTTCTGTGGGTCCAAGGGGTCAAAACACGTTTCACTCAATTCGACGCCTGTGAGCGACTCTGCTGCGAGTAGCCTCAGCAAGGACCAGTAGGTCCCATGGCAGCCATGGCGCATTGTAATAGACTCCATAGAGACCATTTGGATTTGTGATGAACATTCATCATGTACAAACCTGGATGTGAACAACTGGGTACCAGGGTTTCTCTAAAGCACTTCATGTTCGTTCATTCCATTGGGCATACAGGAAGATACGATATAATATTGATATGCTGGAAGATTTGAAGCCATCTTCCTGTGTGGATTCAACCACCTGGTTTTTGGAGATCTCCTGAAAATGGAAACTTGCAATTGCCAATTGCTGTGCATTCCGGACAGCTTGAGATCTGTCGATGGGCAGCACAGCAGCACCTGGGATCTGTGACCAAGAATTGAGGCAGACCAACCAGCATTGGAAGGGTCCGTAGTATGATGATGGAGTAAATCGAATTGTAAATGGTACCCTGCGTATCAATCAGCTAGGGCTCTGTTCACTCTATTCATCCGCAATTCAAATTACTATCAACTGTCAAAGATCAACATCAAAAATCATCAAAACAAGTCATGATTCCTTTGAAGCAACGGCGAGCAATGGTCGCCATGGTCGTCAAGCGATGCCCCCCAGGGCCGAGCTTCAGGCCGACAACACGAGCTGCTTGCAAGATGGGGCCAAGCCTCGGAGAAATTTGGGACAACGAAACGCTGGCCTGATGGGATAGCTACGGATAGCTACGGATAGCTACGGATAGCTACGGATAGCTACAAGAGCTGACAACTCTGTGGCTTCGCCTTTGTCTCAATTCTTGATGATTCAATCCTTTGGAAATTTGGCTCGCGTTGTGGCCAATAGCTTGGGTCCCTTTCAACTACACCCGGCCCAATTGTGCATACTGTGCTCACGCACTCGTGCTGTAGAAGACCACCATGGATGTTGCCTCAGACGCTACAGTGACCACGCGGTGGCCATACGGTTACGTCGGCCGGAGCCCTGGAAATCTGAGCCGCGTGCCTAAGAGATCCAATTTGGAAGGAGGGCCCAGTGGTACCCCTCAGTCGCAGGAGGAATCTCATCTTGACAACGCGAGAAAGACGCTGTCTGTTGGACTCTTGCCGGACCGGCCAGGATTTGACTACAAATTTGCATGCGCACTTCAAGACTCCTTCAGGTCACTTCGCTCCGTAATGCATGTGAGTGCTGTTTGTAAAGGGATGCATGTCCAGATGTCCAGAAGTCCAGAAATAGTTGCACTGCAAGCGGCCCATCATCATTGATGAAAGGACTTGGCCATATCGTTTCTGGCACAGCTCCACCATGACCTGCCAAAAAAATGCCCAGCTACCCAGCTACCCAGCCATCTGCCCACAGCACAGCCACAGCTGCGCACCTGCCGCGGCGCCAATGCTTTGATGGCGTCTGCGGCCTCCTGGCCACTGCCAGGGCCACTTTGGAGGCCATGTAAAATCGGCCTCGGCAAAGCTCCGAAGTCGAATTTGGCACGGCATGAAACGTCTTGATGACTTTTTGGAAAACTGATAAAACTGTTTGAAGACAGATGACACATGAAGACCGAGTGCAACTTTTTCAACGGACAGGGATATGGAATTCCTGGGTACCAAGACGATTGTCTTACCAAGCTGCCGGCAAAATGGTGAGTTTCAGAGGTTTCCCAGCACCATTTTGCCGTGGCACCTTGGTCAAGCCATGGTCCATTCACACCACGCGCACGTGATTTGCATTGATTTGCCACTTCAATTCCTATCTGAACAGCCAGAAACTGGGTCCTGAACCTCAAGACTTTGGGCTTGTCTTGGCCTCGCAGCAACTTGCCAGATCAGATCCAAACCGACTCTCTCACATCATTGCTGTTGTTGACCTGCCGCACACTTTCAAGAGACAATGAAGAACCTACAGTTTCACCAAATCTTCTCTGCACTTCATCTGCAGGGCTTGTAGCCTTTTCAAAGTTTAGACCCCGCGGTATTTTCTTTGCAGGTTTCACCAAGCGTTCGCGTTGAACCAGACGGGATGTCTGGACCGGCAACCATGCCGCATGTCATTTACAGTGAGTCTACCGTTCAGCTGCTGAAACAGGACTCGAGCGGTGACGGATCATCCGCAGGTAGCAACTATATACAATTTCCGTGGAGAGACACATTCGGCCGTGCCACAAGACGCGATTCAATCATAGATCCAGAGAGGCTGCACCAGTGGCTTCCGAAAGCCAGTTTCATATGCTTATTGAATTTTGACATCAAATAACATCGAGTTGACATGGAGTACAGTGCTAAAGAATCAGAAAGGGCAAGTTGATGCAAGTTGTTCAGATTGTTCAGATTGTTCAGATTGTTCAGATTGTTCAGATTGTTCAGGTATTCATCTGGCCATTCCGCGGCCCGCCATATACATCCCGTCCCATGTTGGATTGCGTCTGCGTCATCATCACCTGCACAGAGGGAAGGGCCGGGTGGACTCCGGTTGCTTTTTCCATAAGCCATCTATAGCCATCTTTCCATCTTTCCATTCCCGGCTTCTCTTTCTGTGTCAACCTCTTGAACTCTAGCCTTCACCAGAAAAAAAACTCGAGAATCTGGATCTGTGACGAAGGGAATCCTGAAATATCTCTCTGTAATCTGGGGAGTCGCTTGTGGGGAAATCAAACAGTTGTCTGGCACTCACGTTGGTATCATTTTCCATGAATTCAGGATTCAGGCCTCTTGATGTCTCTTGTTTTTTTTTTGTTTTCTTTATTCATACATAGATACACCTGATGTCACCTGATGTCACCTTGGACCTGGATGTGCAGATTTTATGTGGACATGTCGACATGTCGCCAAGTTCCGGCCTTGGAGACTGGCCGAACGAAGGAGGACTCCAACTCGATGGGAGCTCTCGGATCGTGGGAATAGGTGCACGCCTGAGCGACCGTGGAGCGGTCACAAGAAAATCCTCCCGATTTGGTCACATATATATATATATATATGTGATATAGATATATATGATATATATATAAAGAAATACGTATATGTCTAATGATGTAATATATGTCTAAATCCATGTGAACAACTATACAGACTATACATGTAAAGCTTGATGTATCTGTGCGCATCATATACATGCATATATCAATACAGTCAATACATTGTTTCTGTATGTTTGTGTAGTGAATACTTGAGTCTTTCCAACATGCAGCCGTGAGCAAAGACACTTGTAGGTTTGCACAGGCTGGTGCTGCAAAGACTGAGGCTTGGACATCACCCACGGCACAATTTCCATTCTGGTTGTGAAAACACCGCAGCCTGTGAGTGTCAAAGCATCACAGAGAATCTCTGACCGAGTTTGGAGGATTGGAGGATTGATGGATTGATGGATTGGTGAATAGAAAACAATTCATAGGCTATGGCCGTTTGGCTTTCAAATGTTTAAGTCCACGTGGAGCCTCTTGGGATATTTGGGATGGGTTCATGGGACCATGCATAAAAATATTCCCCTATCATGTATGCTACGAATTACATCCCGAGCCAACAAAACAAACTATCAGAATCTATCAAGTAAGCAATTGGTGCCTTCGAATTTGTCAATTTGTCCTATCCTAGTGGGTCGTGTGGGTCGTGTGGGTCTCGTATCAAAGCACCGCCGGGATAGCGGTGTTTTGAGTGTTGCAGGGAACACAGTGGCCTTTTGTACGCTGGGCTAATAGCTGTCAGGTGCGGTACTTCCAGCAGTTGGTAGAAATCTTTGTCTCCACCTGACAGGGCAATGCCAAGGCCTGGCAAGGCCTGCAGGATTGCTGCAACTGTGACTCTCGTGACTCCAATTGCAATCTCAGCCGCTGTGATTGAAGCCCTGCGGGAGCGCAGTGTGCCGAAAGCAACTAATGTGAAACCCCATCAACTATCAACACATTCTCAACACATTCTCAACACCACTCGTCATAGCGCTGTACCCAGAAGGGTACCCCAATGACCACCAGCTTGGAACACATTGTTGCAAATAGCATCTTGCTCCTTGTAGATATCGTACCATTGGGTTCGAAGTGCCTGCATCACAGCTGCCACAAAACGGTTCTATCCCTTCACTTGGCTGTGTGTTGTTGGAGCTCCAATATACAGCAAGCGTCTTGAAAACGTCAATGTGCATAGAAAGGAAGAAGCGGCTGGGCAAAGAACACTTTATTGACCACGGGCAGGCCTGATCTATCGAAGCAGTTCGAACCTTCATCTGTCTGGCAATTGCACTGAAAACCTCAAGCAGTTGACAGATTGAACCCACCTGGTCTACCTTTCACAAGCACCAGCACATGTTGGACGTTGGTACACTGGCGCACTGAAGACACAAGGGATGGATTGTCCAACAATCAAAAACAAACGGCTATGGCCACACAATCAACTGTGAATGGCACCTGGCGCATGTCGCATGTCTTGAAAATCCAAGGCTCGCTTTCATCATAGACATTCAAACTGGCAAAGCACTTGAGCACATCATCAGCTTGCTCCACCGTTAACCTGCGACAGGGTCGGGAACCGTAGTTGCTAAAGCCAATCCAAAGCACCAAAACGCCAGCACAAAGAGGCAGCAGTGGAATGCAGTGGATGTCATTCATTTGTCACCAATTTGCACGTCGAGATCCCAGAGTCGAGCCTGTCTCTTAACAGTAGCCTTCCGGTGTAAGGGAAATGTGCCGATATTTTTCCGAATTTCATGAAGAACTCACAATGGCTTTGATTGATTCAAACATCATTCTGAATTTGCAAAGACTTCTCAACCAAGTCGGCAGCTGCTTATTCAATCCTGTGGTCACATGTCTTCACACTCTTCTGACCCGCCTCTTCAGCACTCCGTAAAGAACCCTGCAGAGATGCGTGCAGCTGCACTGAGAGTTGCACCGATAGGGGAGGGAATCCGGCTATGGAAGGATGCAGGATGTTACAGGATGTTACAGGATGTTACAGGATGTTACAGGATGTTACAGGATGTTCTACTTTCTGCATGAGCAACCAAATGTTCACAACCAAATGTACACCTGAAGCCCGCTGTCGTACTTCAGTACATACTATCATATACTATCAACCTCTTACCATCTGCTGGTTTCATTTGCGCGTGCTGCATCACTTGGCAGCTTTGCAGGCAATTCATCTACAGAGATCCCACATCACGTCCAAGAAAAATTAGGAACAAACCAGAAACCTTTGAAACATTTTGAAACGGTGTTTACATTTGACTTGGTGACATTTACATATATAATCTGGTTATATCTGGTTTGGATGCACACTTCACTCTCGGGACCTGTTGATATCACCGTCGAAAAACTTGGTTCGCGCAAGAGCCCTACAAGCCGCCGCAACATCTTCAGGAAGCATCCTGGCAGGCACTGCGCGTGTTGGAAGCGCCAACTGTCTGTGTTATGGGGCAGATGTATCTAAATGTGTTAGTGTGCAGTGCCTGGTGGAAAGAGTCTTTAGTTCTATGTCTACGTGAGTCTACAGGTTCAGATTTGGGCATATTCAACACCTTGTCCTAACATGGGGGGAGGTTGCCCGCTGGATTAGATGTTTCGGAACAAGGAACCAAGTAATGTGCCATGTTGTGGGGGTGCTAGTGCTAGTCACTTTCTATGGATGGTCTAGCCATTAATTATAAGGTGGTGGACCTACACAGTGGTTGAAAACCATTCATTACACTGGTAGGTTTCACCCTCGGCATTGCCTTGGTATCTTTTTGAGCAAGGCAGGAGACAGCACCATCATTCTCCCAAATGTCTGCACCTCATCAGCGCTTTCGCTGACAGCAAAACCATTGAAAAACCATTGATATTGCTTGATATTTCATATTCTTCTGGGCACATTAGCATCGGTCGTCAACCGATGCAGCGAAACAAGAGTGTGAAAGTGAGCTGCCCTGGTGGCACAACTTCCACGAACTTCCACGAACTTCGAGGGTGCATCTCGAGTTCGAGTGCACTGCAGACATGTTACAGAATCCAACGTGGCAGCACTTACGTCTGCATTCTCATCTTCACTTCCAGAAGCATCCTGTGTTTTTTGCGTCCAAGAAATATACATGATATGTAGCATCTGCTTGTCACACCCTCCGCTCCTACAAAATGGATCAAAATGGTAATTAAATTAAAACATTTAAAATTTAAAACCATGAGATGCACCAAATTGTACACCACATCGAAGGAAACATAAGGAATTACCTCTGTCTTCTCTGTCTTCTTCGGTGAATCCACGGGCTTTTCCGGCTCATCCTTTTTCTCGTCTTCGCCTTGCTCCTGTGCAGATCAAGTGAGTGCACAAGATAGATCAAGAACATTCCAAGCCATCTGGGCCATCCTGGCCATCCTGGCCATCCCATCTCGCTCCTCATCAGAATCCATCCAAGCAAATTCTTTCCTCGGCCGAGATTCCACGCTTTCAACAAGTCCCTTTTCAGCTACTCAGAAAGCAGAAATGGCTGGCTGCAATCTAAGACCCGCAGGCCATAGTTCAGAGCTCTCTGGGATCGTTGTCACCTCACAGGATCTGCCAAGCATCTCTTTCTTCGGCTTACCTTGGCACCGCGCAGGCCCCCTTCCCCGTCGAGCCCCTTTACCCCTGGTCCACTCAAGGACATCCCACACGCTAGCTGAGCGGCGACTTTCTGAAGGGGCCTGAGCATCAAAACGTCAGTATTGGGCCGACAGTCAGAGCAGTCTTGGGGTTTCCTCTTGAAATGTTGATGCTAATCATAATCAACAATGGAAGGACTCAAAAAAAACTGAACGGTTCTGACAGCTTGCAACTGCGGATGCAGGCGGATAGCCGGAGATACACATGTGCAAAAACTTAAAAAACAAATCTTGAAAACAAATTGTTGATCATTTGAAAACGCGTTCTGATCATGTTTGTGCCATGTGCATCTATGCATGTATGCATGTATGTTTGTATGCATGTTGGGTTGGTGTGGTGTGTTGCGGTATGTATATTGTGGTATGCAGATTTTGGTATATTTCTCCGCGCAAAGACACATATCAAATATCTCAAATGTCCATTTTGTCTCAGGGTCTGTGACCGAGTCACTTGAGTCACCGAATCGTTAGCCTTCGTCCGCTCCACCGCTTCCGCTTTGTCCGGCGGCTTGGCGACGTCCTTCTGCTTCTTGGACGGTGGTTTGACAACCTGAACTGAAAACAAAAAAACGAACGTAACGACCAATATCAAAAGAATATATCTGTCCCGATTTGAATTTGCCATCATGAACTCATCCTGTAGTGGCATGGCAAGGATTTCAATTCAAACAGGGGAAAAAACAAGACACACCCATCATCAGTTTACCGCCAAGCTATGCTGAGGCAGTCTCGAGTCATGAATTTCCAGTAGCAACCGCAGAAATTTGAGGATTGTTGCAAGTGTCAAACAGACAAATCTAAAGCCCATTTCAAATCCTGTATATCTAATGGTAACAAAAACTCCATATTTTGAACACCGCAGGGCGGCTACAGTTGTCATGCATTGTCCATGACAAAACAAAGAACAAACATGTGTCGCAAATGCCATGGTGCCATTTCATTGTCAGAATCACCATCATCATCTTCTTGCGCGGCAGCACAAACAAGTTTCCGCTTCATCACCAAGGCCATATCGAGGCACGTCAGGGTGCCAAACTACGCCCTAACTTGAGACTTGAGACTGCAAAGCAGGTCACCATTGCCACAAACCAAACTGTGTCTCGTGGAACCCTTTAAACATCCTTTTTAATGCATCCATATGCATCCCAAATCAGCTCAAAACCATTGCCCAAGTGCTGCAATTTCTAACACTTTTGTGTTTTTTCAAAACAATAAGAATTTCATTTCCAAACAATGCGAATGAATGCTAATAATATATCATTGCCTTGATGTCACATCCATCTGAGTCCAACTGGGTTTCCGGTCAAGCCAGAGATGTTTCGCCAGTGCAACGTGCGCAACGCGCTTGAGCGAAAGCACGTCGCTTTCGTTTTGCCAAAACACAGCAACATGGCATCAAAACACGATTTGGAACTTCATTTGGAACCCCATTTCCCAGGTGATCATGGAAAAGTCAATGTTGAATGAATCCATGAATGCCATGAACATGAAGACATTGGAACCAACATGCGGGTACATTGTCATTGGCATGGTTTGCATTGTTTGTTTGATTGCATTTTTTGCTGCATGTTCCGGTACAATGTGAAATGGTCCTGCATTTGATAACAAATCAAAATACTTTGAACTCATCACAACACACTCAAGCATCCATCCGACTAAATAAACTACGGATAAGTTCGGATTTTTCAATTGATAGAGTTCAGACGGCTGCAAATTTCAGGAAATTGTTGTTCACAAATTACCCCATCTAGCAATGTTAGTGAATGATGGATGGGGTAATTTCACTGTTTGGAAAAATCCAATTTTGTGTGGAGAAAGATTGCATTCGTATACAAAAATGGCATTGAATTTGATTGTGTCTATTCCTTCGTATGCCCATGTGAATCCAAAGCACGTCTATACTTTGGGGAACCAAGATGGTCATGTTTCGCAAAAAAACACATGTGAACGAATTGTGCAAATTTGGATTTACAGTCACTGAGTTTGCGTTTAGTCGGTTTGGCAGCAAACAACAAAAGTCAACACCGGTGGTGCAACCGTTAGTTCGCTCCAAATGGAATGGGCCATTGCCTGTACGAACAACAATAAACCAATTGGACGGCAAAGTGTCCAACATGCCACAATTTTCTTCAACCTTTTGTTTATTTAACGAGCGGTACAGTCGCCCGAAAAAAAAATGCCACTATGTAATTGCAAACGGGACAACCCACTAATACACACAGTCATTGGTCCGCACTCAAAGTCACACCAGCGCGCAAGACATAATCAGTGTTTCAAAGGTTCAAGGGTCGTTCATTGCTGTAAAATTTGGAGAACAAACGCCGTGATGAAGTTGCCACACATCAAATTTCCATGAACGTCAATCATTAGATGCAAATAAATCGGGTGCAACGGCACTTCTTTTCTTGAACCACGAGCCTTTGCAGATTCATGCCATTTGACCTGTGTGAAAGTCTGAAAGTGCAACTAAACTGACTTCTCGGTTTGTGTGTTTCATCCTTGTGCAGTGGCCATGCTACCAATCATGAGTGCTATCGCAAATGCTTCGCACTCCTCCTTGGATTTGAGTGCCCATTGCACTCACATCCACTCCAAGCATTTTGCACCGCATTTGCACGACGTTCCGCACAGTTGGGTAAATGCCATCATTCCTTTCCAGAGAAATTCAGTCCGCAAAATCCATTTCTCGAAGTTGGTTTGCATATTGTTGGTATCGCTGTCCAATGGTGCTCTCACAAAAGATTCTGTTCTGGTCTGCAAGTCTTTCCACGCGATCTCCAAATCTTTGAAATAGGTGCATCCTTGTGGCTCTAGTCAATGGCTGAGCCCCATTCATACTGTCCAGGATCCACATGACTGCTTGTTGGCACCGTTCAGTTTGGGAAAACGTTCCTCGGCTTAGACAAGCGTTCAGCTCGTTCCCTCAACATTTCATGCGCTTGTCCCAGATTGGAGATGGCAGGTGCAAGTGGTACAACTGGATCTTCCTGCAAAGGCTTCTCTCTTTCACCGCCTTCTTCTTGATTTCCAGTTGCATCACTGCGAAGAAAGATGGAGCGGTCTTTTGAGCCTCAGGGCCTATGGATTCCAAGTCTGAAACTGTGATGAGTTCACATGGTTTTCATGTGCTCAAATTGGAGTACCTGACAGGGATGAGTGCTGAGTCAAAACGTTCGCACTCCTCCTAAATTTTCTGAGTTTCAGCTTGGAAATTTCTCCTGTTGTTTTCGACCAGCCCACAGCAAATTTTGCTGTGACCTCATCCAAACTTTTCTAAATTCTTTCCATCAGCTCCACCTTCAGTGAAAAACTGTCATGCAAATCTTTCGAAATTGGTCTTTCTCTTCTATGGTCCGAATCTAATTCCGAGCTGTACTTCAAATTCCTCCACATAGCTAGCGAAAAGTCTCGCTGTGCGCAATCTGGAATGATTGTTGCTCCTTCTGAATCTTGCATCTAGGCCTTCAGTGATATCCATGAGAAGTCTCTCAAGTTGCTCTGGAGTCAAAGGAGTTCCTGGTGCTCCTCTGTCCAGCGCCATGAGTACCAGCTGTTGAACTGCTGCCGCATCTGAGTGTTCATGCAACGCCAAACATTCATTGAGTAGATTTCGAAGTCTGTTCACAACGTGTTCTCTAGTGTGGACGTCAATTGCATCATCCACTTCCATCTCTGATTCTTCTCCTTGTTCTTGTTCTCCTTGATCTGTGGTGTCAACTGCTGCATGAATCCCAGTTGAATGCTGGTTTACCAATCTCATGCATCTATCACCGCCCATCACATGAAAAGAAGTCAAATTGGCTCGCTCAGTTGCATACATGTGCCTATTCTGATCCGCAGTGAGTTCGTTATACCTTCTGAACCCTCCAACTTCAACCAGTCCATAGTGGATGCTGCTTGCATAGTCCTGGAGAAACTCTAAGTCACGTGCCGTCTCACCAAGACCAAACTCTGCTGAGATTAGCCTTCCACTATAGTCAGTGCAGGCTCCATCCAGTTCTGCAACCTGAACGCCCAAATGATAGTGCTCTCTTTCCATGACTGTCATTCCATGTCGCCACTTTCGATACAACCAGTAACCTGCACATCCAAAAATGACCCATGTGGTCAAAACCAGAAAATGCAGACATAGTTGAACATGTTGGATTCTACCATCGTCGCTGTTGTTACTGTTGTAGCATCACACTGGTCTCGGAGAGAACCAATGTCACATGTTGATCCTTCCCGCTCGTCCGGAAGAAATTGCCCGTTTGCACCATTTGACCCAAGGCCCATGATAGTGGCTACGCGCATCAAACTCTTTGCCAGCTGCATGATTTGCCTTCTTGAGCCATGCTTTTCAACTTGTTCATTATGTTCATGCTGTCCAATGATTGTCAAACCATTGTCTTTACACACTCCAAGCTCGTGAAGCAAAACTTTAACCCTTTGTTGAGGAAGCGCCTTCGTGCAGAGGTCAGCCACATTCCATGCTGTCGGTAGCTGCTGCAAGAAGACATCACCTGACAAAACATGTTGTTGTATCCAGAGTATCTTGCCATCAAGTGTCGGACTTTTCCTACACCTTGTTTGGATGCCAGTTGTCTGGCTGAGGAACTGTCTGTCAGCAGGTAATGAGAAACATCAGCTCCAGTGAGAAATGAAAGACAACGTCTGATGTAGATACCATCTGCCAAAGCGCTTACCATGCCATGTAGCTCAGCCTCGCAGGATGAGAGGCTTACAGTTCTCTGCGTCCTTGAAGAACCAAACATGTAAAACCCATTGATCAGATGGATGCCAGCGCTTGTACTCCTCCTGTGTTCTTTGTTCGAACTCCAATCTGAATCACTTGCACTTTCCAGCACCCAAAATGACTCATTGGTGTTCTTCCATTTTCCTTGGCCACCTTCAGGTTCTGCGATGACCACTGCGTAGGATGAAGTTCCCTTGACATACCCCATGACTTTCTTGAGCCTTTGCAACGCTGTCACAGTTGGTTGAGCCATCTTTGCTGACAACTCTTTGACGCAAAACAAGAGATCCGGTCTGTCCCTTGCTAAGTAAAGCAAACCTCCAACTGCAGATCTATAGGCATAGGCATCACGGGAAGTCAAGTTTGAAGACACATCAGGGAGTTGTATGGAAGAGTCACATGCCACATGCTGGACACGCACTTGACCAAAGTAACTTTCAAAGTTTTCCACCAACTTGTCGATGTTGGTTCCTGGAACCAGAGCTAAACCATGGTTAACCTTCACCAGCTTCCGTTTCAAGAAGGAAATTGAGCTCCCTTCTTCTTCCAAAACTGATGCACTAACGCTGAACTGTTCCTTCAACTTTGGCAAAAACTGTTCTTCCCAAAATTTGCGCTTTCCTACAAACAAAACATCATCCACATGCAACATCAACGCTGAGTGTTCATTTCGGCAAAGACATGGTTGCTCTGTGCACCACTCATAGCCAAAGGTCTTCGAAAGGAAATCTCTGAAAAACCAGTACCATGCTTTTGCACCAAGACGTTGGCCTGGGAGGTTCTTGGCTATGATGTACTTTCTGCCTGCCAGTGTCACTGCAAAGGGCTTTGCTTGTGGTACACATAGAAAAGCATCCTTGATGTCAACTGTTGCCAAAACATGTTCTGCTGCATGGTTTTCACAGCCACGTCGTTCAGCACATCGTTGCAAGTAAACCATTGGCAAAAGGTTCATCACATGAGTTGATGTCGCAGGACTGAAGCAATCGTCCCTGCGTTCCATGAAAGCATACTCTCTGGCCACCAAGCGGCTACGTCGAAGCCACCTTTTGGTTATACTTCCATCATCCAAGGTGTAATCCTTGGCACGCCAGTCTTGCACAAACTTCGTTGTCAAGGAGTCTCGAACTTCATTCTGGAAAAGCTCCTCCTTGATCAAAACCTCCATGTTCACCAAGCGTGAAATCTCAACCTCGTTTGCAAGCATGTCAACCCATTCTGGTGGTTCGTCAGGTTGACGCTCCATGTTGTAATTACTCCAAAGATCTTCTGGGAC